CGCAAGTGTTTTCAATTCGCGAATATCACGTTTTTCACGCCACTTCGAGTAAAACGGGTCGTGAAACTCCACTTGTTAGCATGGGTTCTACTCTAGAACTAAAGTTAAATGTGATATTACGTAACGTAGTACGTCATAATGATATTGTGATAACGTCATTTACGTTGAGTTGGTGATGGTGCGGTATCAGGTTGTTGCCAATGCTGCAGCGTTAGCCGGCGAAATGCAGAAATTAGGATTTAAACTCGTTTCTGATGGTGAGAACTAGTAAAGGTGTTTTTATGAACTACAGAGTTGACGATCAGGCACCGATAATCATTTGATGCTCGTAGACTTGAAAAATAAGGGCGTTAATGGCAGCAAAGTTGAAAAGGTGAGACCAACATCATTTGTGGCGTTTCTTATATGCCAAAAACGTGATAAAATTACGCACGATGTAGGTTTAGGAATGAGTAGAGCAGTGCTGCAAAATATGTAATCGCTGTTCTCAGCTGAGCTCAATGGTTTCCTTACTAATCATAGGAGTTTATGTACGAGAAGTTGTCAGGAATTCTCCAAAATTTCCTCAGAATTTTGATGTTGTTACCAACACTTGTGCAAATTTTACCACACTGGAGTAGAATTGGTGTAATGAGAGGCGTTTAGAATTAATAGTTGGGAAGCACCGCATAAGAAGAGGGTATTTGCTGAAAGTTTGAGAGTAGTATGTGATAAAAATTTGTGAAAGCGATTTGAAAATGTGATTTTTTAACGCACGATTATATCCATCTGGCTTGAAAGTATTAATTATAGGTTTGGTAATTGTAATCGATCATCTGGGCGCGCGCGATATGTCTTTGGTGCCTTACAGGTCTGCGAGTTGGCGTCGATTACTTTGAATAAGAACACCGTGCCGGGGGATAAGAGTGCGATGAACCCGAGCGGGCTGAGAATTGGAAGCCCTGCTATGACATCTCGTGGTGAGTATCATTTACGTGAAGTGGCGTAAAACTCGGTGAAAAACGCGATATTATTCGCGGTGATATGCAGTAGTCGTGAAATATATATCACTAGGGTGCAACTTCATTGTTGGAGTGTGAGTCTTCTGATATTGGAGTTCTATTCGTGATGTGGAAAATATATTTCGTATATTTCACTTCGCGAAAAAATGCATGTGAGCAGTGAATAACGCGCAGAATATGTGATGTGTTTTACATGATATAAGATCATCTGTCCGGTGTAATTCGCGAAGTATTTTCAACTCACTTCGCGAAAAAAAATGTGTTTTCGGTCGCGGAAACATATACGTCTTGTAATTCACATCAAGTATTACACCACTGCACGTTAAACGGGTGAAACTCCAATGAAATGTTATTTATATGCATAGAATTGAGTTACATCTGTGATATGAAAAACACTAGTGAAAAATATATTTCATAATTCACTTCATATCGCGTTTCTCACAGAGAGTATTACGCCACTCCACGAAAGACGGGTGAAACTTCAACGGTTACTTGTTCGCATATTTGGTTACCGGGCTAGAACTAACGGTCATATTATTACCGTTCATATAGTTTTTCATGAATTGTTTCGTGGGTCTGTGTGATTGCTGTGGTGCTTTAGGCTGCACTGAAGATGACTTTCGTAGAGTTGCGCAGTTTTTGAACAGAGCCGTGGATATCGCGTTGGAGGTGAGTTACTATGGGTGTATTGAGAGCCAGAACCCAACGTCGACCAAAATATTAGAGAGACTTAACTTATAATCATCACTGGTATGCAAATGACTACAGCTTAGCTCAGCGATGATACGCTGAGAATCAACCGCAATGGGACAGATATCACGAGAGACGACAATTGACACAAGCCGAATCTCACAGACCTTCACAGGGTGTTCATTGAAGCATCATATGTGTTATATAATACTAGTGAAAATCACATCATTATTTTCGCGAGTTTGATCCCGTGAGTGACTGTACTTCACGTATTACGGGTGTGCCACTATTAGGAGAGTTATATTAGTTACTATATACGGCTTATTAGTAGTTATTACTCTTATACTCGTATTATTAATTAATAACAGTTATATTAGTTATATTCTAGTTGTAAATGAAGTTTCACCCGTTTTACGTGTAAATGGCGTCGTAATACTCTGTGAAAAACGCGATATTCGTGGTGATATGCAGTAGTCGTGAAATATGTTTTTCATATCACGGCCGCTCGTGAAACTCTAATACATTGCGACCTACGGAGCTCATATAATATCTTGATACTTGAAGTAGCGAGATCCGTTCATGCAG